ACTTGCTATGCATCAGAGAGCTGGACAATCACCAACTATGACAGAAGAAGGATTTGTGCCTTTGAGTTCTGGTGATGGAGAAGAGTCTTGAACAGGCCATAGGTTGCTGAGAGAACTAACAGGCATGTCTTGGAGAGGATGAAACCAAGCTGCTCCTTGGAGGCCAGGATTTTGAAGCTCTGTCTCACATTCTTTGGGCATGTTGCCAGGAGGAACCCATTCTTGGAAGAGTATATCATGCTTGAAAGGGTGGAAGGAAAGCACAGGAAAGGAAAAGTCCAAAAAAGATGGATTGACATAGTAACTGGGGTAATGAGGGTAAGCTTGTCTGATACAGTGAAAATGGTTCATGATATGGTGGGGTTCAGAGCTATTGTACAAAGGGTTGCTATGAGTCAGAGTCGACCTGACAAACACATGATAACAAGAAGCTTAGTCTTTAAAGCCATTTTCTGCTTATTATTCTAATATAAACTCTAGATCAGGTGATTTCTCAAAAACGTACAGTATTTTGAAAGGGTTTCACGATTACAGTTTTAGCAAATAGTTGCTACTGAGTCTGTCTTCACTCAGAGTGACCCCATGCTTATCCAAGCAGAACTGTGCTCCATCGAGTTTTCAATGGCTGCTCTTTAGAAAGCAAACCAGCAGGTCTCTCTTCCCAGGCATCACTGGGTAGATTCAAATGTCCAACCTTTCAATTAGCAGGCGAGCACATTAACCATTTGCATCATTCAGGGATTCCAGACGAATACTCACTCAAATGTATTGCTTACTCCAGCCTGTTTCCAAACCAGCCGACCTTCCAGAAAGCATCCAAGACTGTCAGTGGTACAGGAGCAGCATTTCCATCTTTCTCTCCCTCAGAGATGCTGGTGGATTCAAACTACCAAGGAAACATGGCTCTGTGGTTAGCACCGCAACTACGCCTGGACCACAGGATAGTCATCAGTCAACATTTACTTCCGTGTTTAATCTCAGACTTCCCAGTAGGCAGTGGGTGTTGAGGGAAGGACTTGTGACCTAGCCCAGACCGTTACAATGAAAGAGAAACAGCACTACAGTTCATGAGGTGCCCTTAGAGTTATTCAGTGGACATCAGCCTCTTTGTGGAGGAAGCTTTTCTTTCTCTTCCAAAGGCAGCATTTCTCTAACAATGCTTTTACTTCCATACTGCATTACATTTCCATTCATGGCTGAATCAGTGGGCAGATTCCAGGGTTAAAGCTTGCATCTCTGTTTTCACCTCAATAGACAACTGTTCACTGGACTCTGAAGAGCGTAGGTGACAACAGGATCAACTACCTGTGGTACATGCATGTAATCAAACACTGTTGTTACTGTTGTTGTTAAGTGGTATTGGGTCAGTTCTGATTCATAGCAATCTGAGTTTCCCAATACATGCTCAGATCAGAAATTCAAAATACTGTTTCTGTTTGGGATGCTCTATTCATGTCCTAACCTGTCACTAGTGACTCACCGCACCCCCCTAATTTCTAGCATCCAGTCACTACAGCTTTATAATGGCAACATTCTTCTCACTTAGGTAACACATGGACAGTGTCTCTTGTATACCTTCCTCAGCATCCAGTATGGCGCCTGGTATATAATTGTTGTTGTTGTTGTTAGGTGCCATTGAGTCGACTACAACTCACAGCAACCCTTTGAACAACAGAACTGATCTCTGCCATACTCAAGCCTATTATATTCACTGTATCGGTCCATCTTGATGAAGGTCATCCTCTTCTTCATTGTCCTGCCCCATCACGATGACTTTTTTCCAAGAACTGGCCCTTCCTGATAACGCATCCAAAGCTTGTGAGACAAAGTTGCACCATCCTCCCCTCTAAGGAGAACTTGTGTCATACTTCCGCTAAGATTTAGTTGTTCTTTCGGCAATCTATGGTATATTCCTCACCAACACCACAAGTCAAAGGCTTCAATTCTTTTTTGTAAATAGTATGTTAGAACAAACTGGTTTGTCCTGGAGAGGGTGAAGCCAGAATGCTCCTTGGAGTCAAGGATTCTGAAGCTGCGTCTGACAAACTTTGGGCATGTTGCAAGGAGGGACTGGTCCTTGGAGAGGGACATCATGTTTGGAAGAGTGGAGGGATGGCACAGGAGAGGAAGACCCTCGATGAGATGGATCGATTCTGTGATTGGGGCGGTAGGAATGAGTGTGTTTGAGATGGCGAGGTTGGCACAGGATAGAACAGCGCTTAGGGCTCTTGTACATAGGGTCGCTATGAGTAGCAAGCAACTCGATGGCACCTAACAACAACAACAACAACAAATAGTATGTGCTCTGAAAATATTTGTGGCACAAATATATGTTTCCAGGTGAGAAGGTGTTTCAGGCTCTCCTCTTCCTAGTTGACCTTGATGGGCCCCGACACTATGGCTAAGACGCTTCCCTAACTTCACTCCCTGCATGTTGTAGTATATTAATGGATATATTTGCAGCACTTCAAATTCGTATGTCGAATCATCCTCTGTTAAATCTATATATATGCCTGGGTATGATCCTACTTAGAGGAGGTGAGGATGGGTTTCTTTGAATTTTCAGAGGTAGCAATGGGAAAAAGAAGGACTCTGAACAGTGTAAAACTGTGTCTGTTTGCTAGGTGATGACAGGCTCAACTATCCGTGGTATGTCCATGTAAGCAAATACTGTTGTTGTTATTAAGTGTTGAGTCAATTCCAGTTCACAGTAACCTTTTGTGCAACAGAATGAAACTTCATCTGATCCTGAACCTTCTTCACAATCTCTGCTGTGCTTAAGCCCAGGGCTGCAGTAACTGTGTCAATCCATCTCACTGACGGTCTTCCTCTCCTTTGACGACCTTCTACTGTCCCAAACATGGTGTCCTTCTTCAAAGACCCTGGTTGCATTTCCTCAACCTTTCTTGAATTCTCACCATCCTTGCTTCTAATGAGATCTCTGGCTGTACTTCATCCAAAACACAGCTTGTGTATTCTTTTAGCAGTCTACGATATATTCAATACTCTTCACCAACACCACAGTTAAAAAGTCTCAGTTATTCTTTTCAATCTTCCTTATACTCAACAAAGAGAATTACTGAGAAATACAACTACATCCATGTCAAATGCATTGTAAATGAAAGGAGTTCGACTCAGAAGCCTAGAAGCTGTATGATTCCAACTATATGACATTCTAGAAAAGCCAAAACTATATGAACCCAGGTCGGATAGGGGCCTGAATTGGAGAAATGAGATTAGTTATCAGGAGCATGAAGGGACTACTTCTTCTTGTTGTTATGTGCTGTCGAGTCGCCTGTGAGCCATAGTGACCCTTTGTACAGCAGCTCTGAAGCCTGCCCTGCCTGTGCCAGTCTCACTAACTCTGAGACACCAGGCCCTATTGCCCCAGTTACCATACAAATCCATCTCATCTAGGGTCTCCCTCTCCTGCTCTGTCCCTTCACCCTTCCAGCATGATGTCCTTCTCCAAGGACTAGTCTCTCCTGGCCACGTGCCCAAAGTATGTGAGATAGAGCTTCAGATTCCTAGCCTCCAAGGAAAAACTTGGTTTCACCCTCTCCAAGACAGACCTATGTGTTTTCTTGGTGGTCCATGGTATGTTCAAGACTCTTCTTCAGCACCACAATTCAAAGGCAAAGATTCTTCTTCTGTCATCCTCAGTCATTGTCCAGCTTTCTGATGCATAGCAAGTAATTGTGAAGATCATGGCCTGGATTAGGCTCGCCTTAGTTTCTAGTCTGACATTGTTGCTTTACAGCACTCTAGAGAGGTCCCTGACAGCATATTTTTCCTAATGCAATTAGTCTTTTGATTTCCTGATTGCTGGTGTTAAAGACTACTTAATATGGTAGAAATGACCTGTATTTTTAAAGTAATGGTTGTTATACAGACTTACGAGATGTACAAATAGACCTGGACGTCTTCAAGGGATGGATTTCTCTGAATGAACTTCATGTTTCTAAAAATTAGAGCATGCAAGAGCACCTCTAGAGGGATCCACAGATAACAGCAGCCTTTTTGTTTTCAAGATATATGGGTCAGTTGGCATTCCTAGGGTTAGCATTAACTCCTCATCTCTGAGCACACTGTCCACATGGTATAAACAGAGTACATATGAGTAAATAAAAGAATAAATAAGTAATTGGAGGAAACTAACCAAAAGAAGCTCTGGTGACCTAGTGGTAAGAAGCTGCACTGCAATCCCAAAGGCATGCAGTTTAAATCCACCAGCTGCTCTATGGGAGAAATATGCGAAATCTCCTCCTGTGTGATTAACTGTCTCTGAAAACCTGCTGGAGGGTCAGCTGTGGGTTGGTTCTAACTTGACGATACAGAACACCAAACAACAACCACAACAGTTACTAATGACCAGTTGTCATTGAGTTGACCCTGTATCATGGTCACCTGTCATGTAATAGTAGAACGGGTCTCTGTAGACTTGTCAATGGATGATTTTTGAAAGTAGATTGCCATTCCTCTCCTCCTAGGTGCCTCTGGGCAGACCCAAGCTTCCAACTTTTCTATTAGCAATTGATTGCTTTAGCCATTTGTACCACCCAAAGTAGACCCCAATAATTGACTGGCCCCTGCAGGATCCTTCAACATGTCTATCATAACTTACTTTCCTATCCTGGGAAATAAACCTGTAACCTCCCCATTCCCACCCCAACTCACTAGAGCATGCCACACCCCTGTGCCTTTATACTTAAAGGTCTCCATGTTTGGATTTCAATTTCACAGAGACCCTTACCAGTGGTGAAAAACATACTCCTACTCCAAGAACAAACAGCTACAGATGCTGACCAGCCTCCGTCCCAGGGGTCCACACTTACTGGTACCAGAGGATGGTGACTGGCTCACAGGGCCTGGGCCTGGCCTTTCTTTCCTCTTCCTCTCCTCCCACTCCTCGCTGGCTCTAAATCACAAGCCAGACCCCAGTCCTAACTGTTGCTCAATCCGCAGGAGCCCAGTTCCTGTGGGCAGTGCGTGGCGTGCCTGATCCTCTCCTTTCTGCAGTCCAAGGGAAAACAAGGTCTTGCTCAAGGCACCGTGTCCGCCTGCCCCTGAGAAGGACGACATGGACCCTCTCCAGCTGTTCCTTCTGCTCGCTGTCACAGGTAGGACCCCCATCCTCCTTCTCCAAGGCCTCTTTCTCCCTTTCCTTGATCTGAGAGGGGACCCCTCAGCTGAACTATGAAGCGGGGATCGTCTGATTGCCTCAGCCTCCTGCACCCGTTCTCCCCTATGACTCATATTCCTCATGCTCCCTCCTACACACCCGGGACCAAGCAGGCCTGGCTCTCTTCATACATTTGGGAGTAGACGGACTGACCCCATCAGCAGAGATGAGCTCTGATGGTGACATCTCTAGCACTAGCTGCATTGGGGGAATTCTTGGGGGCTCTGCGTCAATGAGCTTGAGTGATTCAGAGATTGTGAGGATGGCACAGGCTAGGACAGTGTTCAGATCAATTGTTCAGAGAGTCACTGTGAGACATAGACAATAATAGCAACTGGTAAGAGGTCTGAAGATCCCACACTGCTTAAGCACAGGGCTAGTCCAAAAGAATGACAAGGTAGGGTGGGGAGGGGGAGAATAGAAGCTGAATGAGAAAGTCTCTCTTCAGGGAAGACAGACTTGTCCACATTGTCTGCAGCCCTCAGTGAGGGGCTGAAGATTTCTGTCACTGTCATGAGAGCTTGGTTTCCCAAGTTCCTGGGAGCAACTGCTTCTTCCCATTGGAAAGGCTCTTTGTGCTTGAGGGAGCAGTGAGCAAATCTGGGTGATGGGGCAGCCTGTCACAGCGGAGTCTCGCTCCTGCAACCTCATAGCTTGTGATGGTGAAGGGACTCTGGGCTGTGCCGAGGCATGGAGGCATGGAGGGAGGACTCCTATGGAGGAGCGATACCCACCCAGCTCCACGCGGCAGGTTACCTGCTTTCTCACACATCTGTCACGTTCTGTCACCATGTGCTTAGAGACCGCGTCAAGGGTGGAGATGGAGATAGGAAGATGACGGGAGTATAATGAAAGCGAGGCGAGCCAGCTGAAGCAGAAGGATCTAGCTGAGTACCCCCCATCCCTGCACTGGCTTTGGCTGGTGTGCTAAGCCCATCTTAACCACCCTAGGGAGGGACCCCAAAATAGCAGCCTCATGTCTCCCCAAAATAACTGAGACGAGTCCCTCTTGAAAGAGGAACAAAGCCACAGAAATAGGGAAGCTGGAAGCTAAAGGTCGGGAAAGCAGAGCATGTGAAGCTGGTACCAATCTGGGCAACTGCAGAGTAAGCAGCACGGGGCGTGCGCCCAGCCCTGGGTCCATGGAGCCAGCTGGGAGGGCCGCGGGCCCCTCTCTCCTGAGGTATAACGGGGGGGGGGGGGGGGGGGGGGGGGGGGGGGGGGGGGGGGGGGGGGGGGGGGGGGGGGGGGGGGGAGAAGGTGAGGGAGGAGACACATGGACTAGACCTGGAGGGGACAGCAAGACCAGAAAGGGTCACTTAGAGCTCCAGAAATGTCCAGCAAATCGAGCTGGTTCATGTCCTCACTGTGCTCCCTTCTCCTAATTTGGATAAAGTTTTTATGCCTCTAAGGGTAGGATTTGTGTCTGATTTGCTCAATAGTCACAGTTGTTGTTGTGTATTGTTGGGTCAGAACTGACTCATAGCTGACCCTCCAGGAGGTTTTCAGAGGCAATTTCATCTCATGGGAGGAGATTGCCCATCCTTCTCCCACAAAGCAGCTGGTGGATTCGAACCAACCTTTGGGATTGCAGTGCAGCTCCTTACCACGAGGCCACCAGAGCTCCCTAACACTCACAGGAGGGGTCCAATAACCACTTGATAGGTGAGAGGACTGGCATGTCTCTCCTCCCCAGGCCTGGCGCAAGGCCACAATGTTACGGTGTTCCAGGGCGTGGCCGGCGAGCCCCTGCAAGTCTCCTGCCCCTACGACTCCTCAAAGCACTGGGCGAGGCGCAAGGCCTGGTGCCGACAGCTGGGAGAAGAGGGCCCGTGCCAGCGCGTGGTCAGCACCCACAGCTCGTGGCTCCTGTCCTTCCTGAAGAGGCACAACGGGAGCACCTACATCGTGGACGACGCCCTGGGCGGCATGCTCACTGTCACGCTCCGGAACCTTCAAGAGCACGATGCTGGCCTCTACCAGTGCCAGAGCCTCCGCGGCAGGGAGGCCGACGTGCTCAGCAAGGTCCTGGTGGAGGTGCTGGCTGGTGAGTGGGCAGCCGGCTGCACCCCTGGCTCACCTACGGGCCAGGGCTCATGTCTTTGTTGTCCATGGGCAGGAACACCGGCGGGGCTTTGGGGGCCCTGGGAAAACCCACAGTGTGGACCTTGTCCCCCACTCAAGATGAGCATGGAAGGTTGTGCAGATAGCTTGCAACACACACACGTTGCTTACTTCACATCAATACACACGCATACACACTGCTCACTTCACATAGACTTGCACACACAGGTGTTGCTTACTTCACACACTCACATCCACACACATGTTGCTACTTCCACATATGTACATGCACGTGTTACTTAGTACACACACACACACAAATACATGTTGCTTACTTCACATAGACACACAGACATTCATTACTTCACAAAGACACATACATGCACACACCTGATGCTTACTTCACATACACACATGGTGTTTACTTCATGTAGACACACACACATCCACAGCCACACGCAGGTTGCCACCCAGTTGACTCCAGGCCGAGATGACTGTGTGCACTGTGGAGTAGAGCTGCTTTTACATTTTCAAGGTTGTAGCCTCTCACAGGAAGTCAACGCCAGGTCTGTTTTCCTTCCGGTCAGCAGCCAGGCGCTTGGCCATTTGTGCCACCTAGGCGACTTCTTGTACAAGGGGCCCCACATCTAGCCTGCACTCCTCTCACCAGGCTGAGCACCTCACGCAGGACTGCACACTTGCACAAAAGGCATTTTCTTCCATTTGCAAGAGAAATGCATTTATAGCCCAGTTTTTCTCAACAGTTTTATCCATTTGGTAGCAATTTAGTATGTGAATAGAGTTCCTGAGTAGTATAAAAGGGCTAACGTGCTTGAATGCTAGCAGGAAAGTTGGAAGTTCATTTACTGAGAGATGCTTCTAAATAAAGACCTGGTGATCTAAATGTCGAAGTTCTGCTCTGGAGTTCTTCTCTGACACATCTCAGTCACCATCAATTGGAATCAAAGGCAACTCAAATAAACCCAATGTTATTGAATGAGAATGGATCCAGGGCTGACCCTCCACCAGGTTTCTGAGGCTGTAAATCACACGGGATTTGATTGCTTATCTTTCCTCCAATGAGTTGTTGGTTGGTTGAATTGCCAGAGAGGTGTGCTTTGGGGGTTAGTGTGGCACCCTACAGACCATGCCACCAAAGTACCCTCAAAGGCAATAGAGAACTTCTTTAGAACATGTTTAGTAATATGTAAACAAGGAGTTCTGATGGCCTAGTGGATAAGGAATGGTACTGTCAACCCAAAGGCAAGTGGTTCAAATCCACCAGCTGCTTTGCAGGAGAAAGATGGGCAATCTCCTCCCTTACAATTTATAACCTCTGACAATCTGCTATGAGTCTGTTCCGACATGATTAGCACAAAACAACACCAACATGTAAATGCTGTAGGTGGTCCTTAAGGGGTAGGAGAAGATTCACTCTTGCTCTTATCCAGCCAGCCAACCAACTTATCAATAAAAATTAAGCACCAACCTGGTACAGAGAAATACCCCTAGAAAGAATGCTTGCTGTGCTTAGGCAGGAACGTCACTTCCCCACGTCACTTTTCTCATCTTTAAATGGAGTCCACAGTGTCTGCCCTGCTGGCAGAGAAGGCTCCTTTGAGGCACAGCTGAGATGACAAGGCTAACATTATTCTGGGCTAAGTTCCGCCCCACCCCACCCTCCTGTGCTTGACTGTCTTGGAATCCTCATTCCAGGCTGGATGCAGGTGAGACAGGGCTTCTCCTTCATGTGGGTGACACCTGCTGGTAAACTATGTTCCAAAGGGGATTGTATCTGGGGTTTTCTCTCTCTCTCTCTCTCTCTCTCTCTCAATGGCTCCTATTAACACAATGACAACCCAGAGAGGTGTTTGCCTGGGCTACGGCATAGGGTGGGGAGGGGAGACTAACTGGCCTATATACAAAACCCACCACTTTTCTAAATACATATGTCAGGTAGAACAGGAATTGTCAGGGTCTACAGCTTAGCTCAAGGGTCCTTGGGTGGCATAAGTGGCTTCACTTGACTGCTGATCTTAAGATTGTCAGTTCAAAGCAATGCAGTGCTGTTGTGGAGGAAAGGTCAGGCAAACCACGTCCATAAAGATTACAGCCAAGACCAACCTAGATATCAGTTCTACTCTGTAATATACCGGGTCACTATTAATTGGAATCTACATGATGAAAACAGGCTTATTTTTGCCTTTTAAGGCTCTGTGGACTCCCAAGAGAGTGGCAAGAAGATAATATCTTAATAATAATAATAATTCATAGCATGTGGAGACTGCTGGACAGTTTGTTGACAGAGGACCATCAAATACATTCATTATTTCATTTTTAACCTCACAAAGCCCCCTTGTGGTGGGAGATGGAATTTCAATTATAGGTTCTTAGGAAGTCCTTGACAGTGTTTAGAGATTCCCTCACCAAATCCTGGGGTCACTGCTATTTAGCTGACATATCTCATTGTCCCACTTTTCAGGTGAAGAAGCTAAGGCTCAGGGATGTGAAATTATGTGATGGACCCAGGACCAGAGTCCAGGAGGCCTACCGCACATCAAGGAGCTTCTCCACACACCCCTGCCTCGAGGAGGAAGGGGCCAAGGCTCACAGATTCTGTCTTCCACAGGCCCCCTGGATCCCCAGGACCCTGGAGACTTCTGGATCCCCGAGGATCCTGAGAGCTTTGAGGAGGTCCAAGTGGAGCACAGCATCTCCAGGTGTGGTGACAGGCCTTCCCTAAGGTGCTGGACAGACATTTGCCATGCTGAGACCCAGCACTGGGTGGAGGGTGGGATCCCAAAAGTGCAAATCTCAAGGCAATTAGAAGTGGAAGAACCTGGCTATGGGACTGTCTATATAGCCCATTCACCAACCAGGATGGTCTAGCATGGCTGTGCCAATTAAAATAGGGAAATATGTCCATAATAATTTGTAAACAGTTGCTGTTCCAGGCCTTCTGAATGAACACCTCCTGTCCTCCTCAGGAAGCTCCAAGACACCCCTACATCTCAGTAATAAGCAGAGTGCTAAGACCATGCAAAAGGAGGGCCGTGGGAATCTGCCCTTTTGGTAGGACCAGGGCCAGTTCTGATTGGTCCATGCATATGTGCACACACAATCACACACACACACACACACACACACACACACACACACACACACAC